CATAACACAGGCTATTTTTCAAAATTCGTCGTCCGTGGGATTTGAACTCTAGACCTGCCACTTGGAGAGAGTGATGAGTTAGTTATGTAATTGTTTATATAACAATTACATAAGACATATATATAAATTAAGATTAATTATCAATCATCGATCATTGTTCTAAACTAATCAGGTTTTCAGCTTTCAGGTTTTTGCATAAAAAAAATATTTTTGTAAAACTTGCTACTCTTATCCATTTTGAAAGCCATAATAGTGATAATGAAAATTGGTGTTAATTTTATATTATTTATTATCTTGAGCAGAGGTCTTTTTGATTTTTAACAGCTGCTCTATCTTGTTTAGTATGTCAACAGTGCATCAGAGTATATCAAGTATACTCCAGGTTTGCATTAGAAGAGTATCTTCCTGCATATTAAATACAAAGTAAATTTCTAATTATATATTATAATTGAAAACTTTACTTGGTATTCAATATGCAAGAAGATGATCTTCATTAACTATAGCTGCTATAACAAAATTGGACTAGCAGATTCTTGATCAAAAATTAGGCAAGAATTTTACTAATAAAATCATAGCCGCCTATTAAGTGAAAATTGTTTCTGGGTTAATTTTACTATAATGTGAGCTTATTTTTTAAAAATTTCTATTTTTGTAATGAAAAAAATTAAAAAATTAATTCTGGCCAGAAATTAGTAAACAATTTTGTAATTTGGGCCAAAATTTTAAAGATCCTTGGCCATTATTCAATTAAAATCAAGGCTCTGCCAGTCCAATTTTATTGTAGCAGCTATGATAATAGCTCTCCTTATACAAACCCAGTTATACTTGACGTACTCTGATGCACTTTCATAAGGTAGAGCAGCTATTAAAAATCAAAAAAGACCTCTGCTATTATTTTGTAGTGTTGTATTTGTACAAATTTTTGAGTTAGGTTTTATACACTTCAGATTATATATAAAACTTCATTATTTCAAACTTTTATATCACAATTAGGTAGCCTTATTTTTTGTTTAACATTCTATTGGGATATTTGCAATCAAAATAACTTTCTGAGGCTATGTTGATCTTGTGAATAAAATTTTGATGGCAAAGATCCTATATAGTCTCATTACAATGCATTCAATATAATGTTATCATGCAAACTCTTATGATTATAGATTATTTCTTGTTATTTTTGTACATTATTACATAAACACAACAATCTTAGATCAAAACTTGGTTAGCCAATATAGACATGTAAATCATGATAATAATTGCATGATAATATCAATATTGAATCATGTGATAATAAATATCATAAAATTTGTTCTGTCAAAACAGGTGGGTGTCTGAAATGTGCTGCTTCACAGCACATTTTAGCCAATCTTTTGCTCAACAAAAACAAAATTCATAATATTGATCATCATATGACTAATATCTTATAATTATTTATTCATTATTTTATCTATCTCTAGTGTAATACAGTGATTAGTAATGTGAGAGCAATGCCGTGCCGTAATTGCAAGAATAGCTCTAATATTTGGTTATATTTACATTAAAGATGTTAAATAGTTAGAGATTTATTTATCTTTGAATTTAAACCATTATTGTTAAAATCAAAATTGGTTAAACTAGTTGGTTTATTAAATTTGTTAACACAGTATGAACTATAATAACTAGTTTATTCTTTGCATAAGTAACTGCTTATAATAACTTGTTTGATTTTTATTTAACTGGTTAAACTTACAAAAAATATAATTGCTATTTTTATATATTAATATATCAAATTAAAACATTAAGTAATAAAATTTCATTAAGTTAAATTTATATAATAATTTCAATATATGTTTTTAATTTTTAAACCATCTATATTATATTATGTGACATTATGTTTTGCATAATGTAATATACATAATGTGCATAGTACATTTCTATTTCTGTCTATTATTTCGCAACAATATGGTAATAATAAAATGAAAGTATTCTTGCAACTTATTATATCAGTTTCTGAAATAATCTTTTCTAGCGAAAACTTCACTGGAACAATAAAAATATCTAGATGCCCGGTGAGGCTCTAGCTTTAAGTTAACTGAAATAATTACTCAAACTACAGTGCACGACACTTAAAGATTATATTTGTCTCATTTTTAAAATTTAAAATTTAAAACTTTAGTTTGGTTTAAACTATTTATTTTTGATGTTTTTATAGTTGCTTAATATTGATTGGTTAAAATTGTTTAAAATTTTATTATATAAATTTAAACTAATTTGATTAGCTATTTTTTTAATTTTAACTTTTTTCATATATGATTATATAAAAATATTATATTTTAAGAATTTTATTATTTTCCGCATATATGATTTGACACTAGTCCCCAAATTAATGCATAATGCGGTAATATACTATCTATATTACATAATTTATGGTAGACAACATATGTATTATTTTATCATATGATAATTAATAGCTGTTAGATAATGACATACAACTTTTACCACTTTAATAGTAATATGCTCTTTTTTTCTTGATGATTCAATAGTGTAGTTCAAAGTTTTTTAGTTCACAAAACCTACAGTAAGCTTACCTGTGCCCAACATAATTAAGCAAATGTGAGGCTTGCTCACATTCAGGAAAATGTGAAGTTCGCTTCTTTTCTATTAAGCTAGTCTACATAAACAGCATGAAATTTATTCATATCTCATTAGTTCAAGTTCTATAAGCTCTCGTCTATATATTTAAGCAAAGTAAAGTTTACCCACGCAAAATTTAAACAAAGTGAGGCTCACCCCACTTACAACTATAAGCAAAGTGAATTTCGTCCATACCAAACTTATTAAACAAGCAAGTACTGATTTGGTATATCTTAATGCCTTTTCATAGATCTTTTTTTTTAATAAGTATGCTAAGTTATACGTTTACATTTTATAACATAGAAATGGATAAGTCTACTTAACTTGCTACTTCTTTGGAAGAAGAATGTGTGTCTACTTATATTATCGATCCTCAAGAAGAAAAATTCTTGTCTACTAATACTGCTAGTTCTCTAGTAAAATATATATCTACTTGTGTTAATAGTTTTCCGGAAGGAGAAAATGGATCTAGTTCTCTAGTAGAATATACATCTACTTGTGTTAATGGTTCTCCAGAAGGAGAAAATGGATCTAGTTCTTCAGTAGAATATACATCTACTTGTATTGATGGTTCTCCAGAAGGATAAAATATAGAAGAAGAACATTATAAATCTACTTACCAAGTTGCTTTACCAGCCTCTATAATTGAAACAGGTATCTACTATATTATGATAATTAGAGATTTGTATTTCTAGTGTTATATTTATGATATGAACGTATGAAGTTAATGCTATATGATCTAACTTTTTAATAGAGAATCAAATTAATGAAATGGTTCTTACCTGAGAAGATGAACACTCAATTTTATATTTTGGCAAAAGATTTGATTCATGGGAAATGTTTGAAAATTTCATCAATGATTGGGCTAAGAAACGAGGTTTTCACATAATTAAAGATCGAGTTTATCATAAAGAAGGAAATATTTGTCGACACACTTTTTTATATAGCCATAGCAGATCATATGAATCTACATCAGATAAAGACACTAGTACTATAAAAATCAAGTGTCCCTTTTTTGTTAATGTGGCATGTCAAAGATCAACAATCCTGATGAAGCTATAATTGTCAACAAAATAAAAGATGAACATAATCATCTTTTAAGTTGTGATATGATTGAGTTTGAAGATAGTAAAAACTTACAGATCAGATAATAGAGGATGTAAGATTTATGACTGCAAATTGCAAGTTTGGTGCAACTACGTAAAGAAAGTTTCTTAAAAGCAAATATCCTTTACATGCAATTTATTCAAATGAACTTTATGCTGCTATGCGAAAATTTCAACCTGTCAAAAATTTTCTATTCGATGATGCTGCAACAGTTTCTAATTGGTTTCTAATTGGTTAGATCAACAAAAAGATAATAATCCCCAATGGATTGTTGCTAGAGGGTGGAACAATGAAAACTGTCTAACTCATTTATTATGGATGACTTCTACACAAGTTGAACATTGAATTAAATATTCAGATTGTATACTTAATGATGTGACTCATAAAACTAATAGATATGGCATGGCATTGTCATTATTTGTTGACTTTGATCATGATCGACATAATATATTACTCGCACAAGTACTCTTAATAGATGAAAGTTTTGAATCTCACAAATAGGTATTCTTTAAAATTATTGAAGCTACCAAAACCCAACCGAAAGTAATATTAACTGATGCTAATCCAGCTGTTGATACAGCTATTTGTCAAGTTTTTACTTCTACATATGCCATTCATTGTACTTTTCACATAAGCCAAAATTTACATAAAAACCTTAAAAAATCTATAGGAAATGATTACCAAAAATTTCTTACCGAATTTTACAATTGTCGCAATAGTTTTGTTGAGGAAAGCTTTGAACAATGATTCAATCAACTTATTATAAACTATCCAAATATTAAACATTATTTAGAATTTCTTTATAAAACTAAGACATCATAGGCACATTGTTATACTGTATACAAATTTATAGGTAGTATAATAGCTACCTCCAGAATTGAATCTGTCAATGCATGTCTAAAACGATTAATTTACAACTCAAACATTTTATTATGTGATTTAGTAAAAGAAATTCACAAACTACTTGACAAACATGATAAGGAAAATGAGTATAAATTCTGGCGGTTGGCAATTCCATCTATAAAAAATTAGGAGAAAGTGACTTCTTGTTTACTAAGGTTATTTAATATCTTCAACAATTTCTTGGATCGACGATGTTAAAAATACATCGAGATGAAATCAACTAATCTTTATATTATACAGCAACTCAAGTTAATCATGAAGAAGTTGAGTATTTAAATGAAATAAGTATATTTATAGATTCTATTTCTAAGTTATATATTTGAGCTAAGTTATGATACTGTATATAGGAATGTGCAAATGAACTTTCAAATGAATTACTAGCTGCTTATCTTTTGCAAACAACTTTAAAACATATGATTAAATTTGTTGGATATCACAATATTATCAATATATGGGCAATTAGTATTGGTAATTCATTACAAATTAAGCATTATGTTCTTTTATTACAAGATCATAGATATAGGGTTGAGTCAATAGAAACCAAGCAAATTTTTTTTAGTAAGTTTTTTTAAAATTTTAAACAAGAATAACTTAACAAAAACTGGACAAGTTTAATAGAATTTTTTTTAAATTAATTTTATAAGTTTGTAAAAATTATTTAAAAAAATTCTTATTAAAATTGGTCAAGTTTTTATTAAGTTATTCTTGTTTAAAATTATAAAAAAATTAACTCTTCCTGACGATCATTTAAACCAAAAATCTGACTAAATAAAAAAACAAAATTTTTGTTGAAGAGACGTGGTTTGTCTAGAGGTTAATGTAACTGCTAGCAGGACTCCTCTATTAGTTGACATTTGGCATGCAAGCCAAGAGTGTTATTATACAAGATAACTAGCAGGTGGTGCCCTTGTATAAAAAATCTTGGTGGTGTTTGGGGTCGGCCCCATCTCTGTCAACAAAGCTATCTAGCTGTTACTTCAAAGAAGAACACAGGGGAAACAACAAATCTTGTGTTTTTTTGAAGCTGTACTCCTTTACTTGGTTAAGTGATACCTTTTTTTACTTCCTCTCATTTTTTTCTGTCGGTCTTCCAAAATTTTTGAAAAAAGTGGGGATTTGGCTTACCCTCTCCAAAAGATCGGCATTGTTTACATTCTAAATTCGGACAGACTCAGTAGAATGCAACCACGTGACGTGTTTATTTACAGATATGGCACTACCTCATGGGAGTTAGTTCAGGACCCCAGTTAATGAGATATCCGAAGTTGGTCGGTTAGTCAGAAAGAAAAATATAGGTTAAGGCAAAGCTTTACAATAGAGATATACAACCGTTGCATTTGTTATATAATTTTTTAGCCTTGCA